CTCCCATGGTTTTTTCGAATATGTTTTATATAAAAATATAAACCTGAGTTTTTAATGAGTTTGTTTCATGAAAATAATTTGGTCAAATAAAAATTTTCTTCAAATTAATGAGAAAAAAATGCGCAGTATGAAATATTTTGATTGAGTCGGTGCAATCATAGAGCCGCTAAACTTTGGAGGTTAGGTTGCCGTTCTTTTGCGGCATGAAAAATTCATCGTTGGTATTGTTTAGATCACGAACATTTTCATGTTTGATTACCACAAACAGCACTTACAACATATTTTGTGCATCTTTTTCACACAATTTTCATCGCAAATACTTGCAAAAAAGATAGAATATCATAAAATTCATTTCTTCATTTGTTAAACGTCATTGAAAACCGTGGTTTACTGAGTCAGTCGGTTTATTGAGTCAGTCAGTATAACCGTAGTTTTAACAGATTAAAATCCATGTCTGGAATTATTATTATGCCACAGGATTGTTTAATTTATGAAAACATTACTATATAAATATTGTTCGCGAGTGGAAACATCATTTACGTTATAACCCCGTAAATATTTCAATGTATCACTGACAGCTGTCATCGAATGTAAACATACGTGAAGTTGCTAACGTTCATTCAATAGCTTTACCCAAAGCACTAAAACTTGAACTTTTGTACACAAGTGAAGTGACTAAGGAATAATTTAAATTTTAAATTTTTCTCTACAATATTAAAATATTAATCTCACACAAATTAAAAGTTTCTACATATTGATCTATCAATTTTTATTTTTTACACTTTTTAAGTGAATATTCACTAATAAAAAAAGAAATATCCATTGGAATAATTCCATTACGATGTTAGATGGCGCTGTTAGTTGTGACATAAATGCTTTACGTATATCACATACAGCTAGTTTGCATCATTGGTTTGGGGCATTATGTGTCCCACACAAAAAATTGTATGTAAATAGACATATTTACAGCCAAATAAAATTGAATAAAGGAAAAAACGATTCAAATTGTGGAAAGTTAGACTCACGTAGTCGCCATATTTATTTTAACTCAGCAAAAATGTATGAAATTCAATCTAAGCATGCATATCTCCATCTCTCTATATGTTGACTTCGATTAAAATGCTTATTTTTATGTTCGAAAGTAATATTCATTGAGTTCAATTGAACAGTTTTGTTTTGTCGATTCAAGAAAATATAAATGTGTGTCATAACCATGAAAAGCAAATCCAATCAATAAAAAATACTAAAGATTTATAACTGAATCAACGCGATATCTTTTTACTGGTGGTGTTTGCATATTTTTCGAAGAAAGTTTTCTACAAAAAATGATCAAAAGCTGAATGAAAAATTAAATCCAAATCGCACAAATACGTTCAATTTATGAATCTAAAGTCAACTGAATACAAAATCTCAAAAGAGACCGGCTGTGTAACGGAGATGTCAATTTTACAAAATGCGTTTTTATGTATGTGTATATCACAACGATACACAATAAAATCCGCTACACAAAAAGCAACCGACTAAGCGTGCTCTTTATAACTATTAGCTCATTTGATCGGAGTCGACACACATACCTATGTGTGTATGCATGCATACATCACTATAAGCAGCAATGCGGCAGGGCTACATCGTGCCATGTAGCGGATTCCATTGTGCACCAATCAGTTTTTTTTTTCTCTGTCATTTCTGTCCGCTCGAAAGAGAACGCAATACAAATTCAGAAACACCGAAAACGATGATATGTATGTAAATGTGCGAATACGGTGAACAGTGAACCGTGCATACCCAACAAACAGTATATATGCATACACAACAGAAAATGTATCCATTTTTTCATTCTCTTGCATTTTTTTCATTAACTTGTGTTTACATGTAAAATATTAGAAACGTTTGCAAATTGCGTTTTCATAGAAAATGTATGAAAAATGTGTGGGGCACAGAATGCCCCAAACACGTATAGCGGTTTTGGTCTTTCATGCTCAATATCTCGAAAACTACACCATGAAATAATGTGTGCATAGTTTTTTTTTTAGCTAGATTCAATGACCTTACAAACGAAAGAAATCAATTTTGGTGATGTTTCATGTGAAGAAAATTTTTAATTCAAGATTGAAATTTGTTTGGGGCACAGAATGGCCCAACCATGGTTCTAGGGTTAATAAATTGTTCATCTCTTCAAAAATATAGCGTGTGAATACATATATTTATCATGTGAACAAACATGTGTTTCAAGATTGCTGAGCATCTCAGCATTTCGTAAGGCACGGATATATCCGAGCATATCGACGACGCATACTGTATAATACAGTGGCGTGTGTTGCTACGTGCAGCCGCAACGACTCGACCGAAGTGTGTTCAGTTGATGTGGCTGCACGCAGCAACAACATACACATTCCGGTCGAGTCGTTGCGGCTGCGCGTAGCAACGCACGCCTTTGTATGCGTCGTCGATATGCTCGGATATATCCGTGCCTTATGAAATGCTGAGATGCTCAGCAATCTTAAAACACATGTTTGATTGTGAATCGCATTAAAAAGGGCATTTTTCGCTAGAACTAGTGATGTATAATAGAAAAATCATTTTTAGCCTCGATATTTTGAAAAATTGATAAAAACCGCAAAAATTTATGAAAAATATCTTTTTTTTTTCTCGAAACCAGCAAAAATCATTTTCATGCAGTAATATTCGTCTAAAATCGCAAGTCACACAATATATTTGTGGTTACTAGTTCATGAAACCACCCAAATTGGGAGATAAATGAAATTCGTTGTCAATGATAAACAATTTCCATACATTTTTGGGTATTTTTGCGGTTAGTTGTTATAACAATTTATCTATTTGATTGACGAATGATCCGTAGAAAAAGAAGCAAACAAATCATACCTTTCAACCCAATGATGTTTTCGTTGCGTAAAATATCGAATTCCGTGCACTGTCGAATTTGAGCAAAATTCCTTAAAGATTTCTTCAAACATCTTTTTATTATTTGGAATGAAAACGAAATGAGAGAAACGTCATGTGGAGAATGTAAAAATGGAAGTTTTCAACTAAATAATTGTATGGCAAGTATAAAATAAAAAAAAGTTTCTTCAAATATAAGAAACGGTTTGAAGAGTCGTTGATAAAAGAAATAAGAAAAACCAAACCAAATTAAAAGCATCTACATTTCTATTGACTAGATCGAGAGGAGAGTATGTGAAAAAATTCGAATATATTTTGAAAGAGGAGAGTATGATTTCTGTTGATTCTATCTGCGTTAAAAGGAAGTATGTTGGCATCCCGTCTAGCCTCCGCGGTTTTTCACGGTTTCCGCGGAACTGATAAAAGATAACAACATGGTGTCTTCGGCAAAGTTGTAGTACTCGAGGTCTTCTAATACATTGCTGAAGACATCTATCTCTTATCTCTTATCAGTTGCGCGCAAATCGCGCACATAAAAAAGCAAATTTTATATAGAACTTTTTTTGTCTTATCATTTTTCGCGCTTTTCGCGCTTTTCGCGCTTTTCGCGGAACTGATAAGAGATAAGAGATAATTGACTTCAGCAATGTTATAGAAAACCTCAAGTGCTACAACTTTACCGAAGACACCAAGTTGTTATCTCTTATCAGTTCCGCGGAAACCGTGGAAAACTGCGTGGACCCGCCAAAAATGAACATACTCGCCTTTAACCATTTTTGAGTCGAAAGAAACTTACTCTCCTCTTTCGTAACAAAGTCAGATGAACTTACTCTCCTCTCGATCTAGTCAATAGATAATAAATAATATGATTGAAGAAAATCAAAATATCTCACTTGAATTTTAGTTTCATGATTCACTTCGTGGGGATGGATTTCGTCAACTATTCCATTTAAATCAATGGATATAGCCCCAATGATTCGCAATTCACCTTTCTTCCTACAATTATGGAATTCGTTATGACATAAAACAAAGATACATTTTCATTGCAGATTTTAATGTGAATTCACGATACTGACTGTGGCATTTTTTGCTTCTCAAGATATTTCATCTTCACCGAAGACTAGACCAAAAACAAGTAAAAATCTAGTTAACTGTTACTTTTCCAGATGAAAAGTCAAGGGAGAAATGGATTTTTACCGCAACCACAGTGGCTTTTATAGAGAGGACATGTTCAAACAGGTGAATTGAATAACAATTAAGAAAACAATAAACAAATTTAATGATGTTATCTACAAACAGCGCGTATATTGAAACATAATAAACTGTTGAATTACCAAATCGAAGGTTTATTGTTTCACTGCAGTGCATTTTATTACATAATTCCATTTGATTAGTATATTTTAGCAGTTGATAAGGAGTACACCGGTTGAATAAATCAAAATTATTCGAAAATAGATACAAATCGAACTCCGATTCGAATTTCTTGTAGAATTCACGGTCATTTTGACAATAAAATCATTTTCTGGTTGTTCAAAAGCAATAAACAACAGAGTTTTTTTTTCACTTTTTACACGATGTTATGATAAAAATGTTGGATAGCTTTTGCATGGAAACAAAAATTGTGAGCATGTGATCATCTCAAAAATGAAATACAAACAATTGGCAGGAAACAGCTAGGAATTAATGTTGAAAAATTGCATGTATGAAATCTATTGATTGCCTTGAAGTTGAGTAAAATAAGTGTAATCACTCCTTCTATAACCAATCAAAAACTTTGTTCAATGCAAACCTGTGTGGAAAATTTTTGACTGACTATTCAGTCGAATAATTTGGGACATTTTGACTGACTAAAAGTGATTGTCTCGTACAAAATAAGCAACTGCAGTTAACTTTAATCACAAATCATTCTTAGTCAAAATGTCCCAAATTAGTCGACTGACTGAAAGAATAACTAAACGTGATTGTCTCCATACAAAACGCATGATTTCAATCAACTTAGCCAGTTTTAGTTGTGTATCACTACATACAGTTACATACAACTGAGTGACTGTTAGTCATTTTATTTGCACACGAGAAGTGATCAACGTGCAATTTTCTTGTTAATAATAAATTCGTCGTTGTTGGTATTGCCGTTTTATTGCTGAGAATTTTGTGCGCTTGGCCCAAGTCGGGACATGTTTTCGCAATGGTTTTTGTTGTCTCAATTTGCAGCACAGTCGAAGAGTGAAGTAATAAATCAATTCGATAACACTTAGCAGTGAAATGCCCATGAATAAGCCCAACAATCCACCGCAACTGGCCACAAAATCGGCGAATGTCAACGATTCCGTTCGATTGATTGATATAAAATGATGCTCTCTGAAACCGATGAACAATTTGGTGGTCGTTTCAAAGCTACAGATGAGAAAGAATTGGTGAAAAAAAAAGTTGGCGAAAATGAATTTTAAGATCATAAGCACAATATGCAACGCGTTCCATTATACCTCGATTCATTTTTAGTATTCGAATGCGCAATGTCACCTTCCGAGTTGAAGAATTGAATTGGAGTTTGTGAAATCTGCAGGTCATACGTAATTGATGTGCAATCGGGTAAGCATTTACATGTTTTAACCATAAGATCCTTTGCAAATCGATCACTAGCATCGATGTAGCACCGAATATCAACCATTGTACACACCTTTGTTTCTTTGTCTCCTGCACAAATGGGGATTTTAAGGCGAATAAGAAAACAATTTTCACTAAATCAAATATTTGCTTTGAGTTAAATCAATCGCTTTTGAATATTACATTGAAAATATAAATAAAAGCCCAAACACTAACTCGGCATTGAGAATGTAACACATCCGCATTCGTTTTTCGTGTAATTTGCCAAACACTCTTGTTCACACTTGAGTTGACTGTACGATTTAAAAAATCTCAAGTGATGTTCGCTTCGGAAAAAGCAACCTCTCTCTTCTGGTGAATAGCTTCTCAGTCCATTCGATGTGGTGATGACATTCGGTTTGACGGAAATGTAAATTTCCTGTTCGATTGGAATGAAAACGAAGTATTGCGGCAGACGAGGTAATTCGTCAGGCAAATGTAATAATAACCGGAATCCCTGTGCAAGTTCACTGCATATTCCATGCACATTGTCCACCGTAATACCTAGAACCATGCTTAAAATGTCACGTAGCCCAGCTCCGAACACGCGATACGGATAAATTTCAATCTCATCAACATGCAAATCGTATCCATCTTCCACATTCCAATGGCTGACGTTTCGATTATCGTCATTAACTGTCATCAACTCAGGTGTTATCCTTAATTCAAATTCAAATAAAAATGTGTTTTTAAGCTGCATTATATTCACGCCATCGCGTTATTGCAATATAATGGAACATCACACAAATGAAAAACACGAAAGTGAAAAATTAATTAGAAATGAACACAAAATAATAGAAGCGATGTACTAAGTAAAGGAAAAATAAGTAAAAAATTCTTTGAATTTTAAAATTTTTCGAATAACATACGAAAAAGTAATGAATTTATTTCGATTCGTACTCATCTGAAAAAATTTCCCAAGAATTGAGCGAATTAAAAGTGAAGCAGAGTCCTTCGCCGGTAAAAATTGGTCGAACGTTTGCCAAATGGCCCCTAGATTATAAAAAAAGTAAACTACTAAACTATCAAGCGCACTCACTACCAGATATTTAGCTGATTACATGAATGTTGCAAAAAGGATGACCGAATTCACGTCCGGGCTCATTTCGATAATGGTTTTATGAATCGATTCGGTTCGTGGAATGACGAGGCCGTCGACCAAATTTCCCAATTCTTTCAAACAAACGTGTAGAATTGCATCGAGCCGATTTAGACTGCAATTCAAAGAATAAGCATTGAATTTTCAAAATCACAAACGTTTAAAAAATGACTAATTTTCTATTAAATTCATTTCAAAATCAATAAATGACTGCAATAAACTTAAAATAGCCATTTTTCATTTAATTTATTTCAATTTACGATTTTCCTTGGTAAGAATTTGTTAATATTTAAAAGAAGCGATTAAATAAATAGATATGACTTACTTTTTGGGTGTTAATCTTTTATAGGCCATTTTGTCATTATTCATTGCTGTAAGCGTTTCTATGAATAAATCTTTGTCAATTTTATCCTCGAGAAACTTGTTGGTTGAACAGATAGTAACTGCAGGAAATGGGATCGTTCCAACGATCGTGGATTTGTCGTCAAAGCTCACGATTACTGGTCGATGCTGCCATTTTTGCCAAATGACCATTATCGACAAAACACACGCTATCACTGACAAAGCAACCGAGGCCATCCACCAAATTCTGAGGCAAATGAACAATTTCTGCGTATTAAGAATTGTTTTTTTTTTCATCATATGCAATTGCTGTACGACAAAATGTCCACCGTGGCCATTTCAATCACCAAGAAAAAGTGAACGGCCTGGAGTCTTTTGATATTATGCCAGATGGGTCTCGTCGCACAAAAAGCACATGAGAAAGATTTTTTCTAATTTAGGCATATCGAATGCATACTGTTCAGTCCAGTGACGTTTCTCTCCAGTAAAATACCGAACTCCATGCACTGTGGAATTCGAACAAAATTCTTTTACGATTGCTTGAACGACCTATATGACGAAACACGACAAATATTATTTCTCGAATCATTCTTTAAAAATGGCGAATTGTCAATTACTTGAGTTCGGGTCTTTTGAACCACTTCATTCAATCTAGCTTCGTCTGGAACGCCATTCAAATCAATTGAAATTGCTCCGATTATTCGTAGTTCACCCTTTTTCCTGGTGATTGAAATTGTATGCAAGAAAATATTGGAATGGATTTAATATTTTTGCTTCTAAAATCTTTGTACTTCTGTTGAAAGTCACAAAATTGTAATTTTAAATTCGAAAATAGTTGATTTTCTTGAACACTTACTTAAGTTTGGAACGCTGAATAAAGTTCATGATTTGATGTAATATTGAGATTTGTCATCGATGGTAAAAACGGATAGATGAAGGATCTTTCTGCCTATAACTTCTTTTATTGGTCAGTAGAAAATCGACGAATTAACTTGTTTGTCCTACGATAAACCACAGACTGTGTACACAATCGTCAATATTGAACGGTCAATATTTGAAAAATGCAAGCGTCAATAACAAACCAAATTCAAGGTTTGATGATGACACGACGCCAAAGCCATCATCTCCGTCCACAGGTCACGTAATCCTGTGTATAGTTTCCTCGTGTGACAATTAAATTGTACGTGCTCATCAGCAATTTGTTTTTAATTTTAAATGGTAATGATTCCGTTGTGCATGTCATATTTCCGACATTTTTGATGATAACTCGATTTGCCCACACGAGATATCGCTCAAAATTGGCTGAGAGTCTTGTTTTATCGTCATGAAGCTGCCATTAAATTTTCAGAACGGTTTTCTAGCTGTGAAGGGAGTTACAGCTGTGATCAGAAAAGTCATTCTTTGGGAATTTATTCGTTTGTTCCATACTAGGCGAAATTTTTGATGATAACTCGATTTGCCCACAAGAGATTTCGCTCAAAATTGGCTGAGAGTCTTGTTTCGTCGTCATTAAGCTACCATTGAATTTTCAGATTTTCATTGTCACTCATCAAAATTACTCACAAAAATTCAGTTATTTTCAGTGTGACTATGAAACAAGATGATTTATGAAAAATCGGTCAGGCGGGATCGAAAGCAATTGCAATTACCTTCAAATTGAGGTAACGTAAACCATCTAAATTGTAACATAGTTCTAATTGAATGGTTTGGAGCGAAAATGTAATACAGAAAAGTTGAGCGGAAAAATGTCAATTGAAAAGGGATGGCTATACAGTTCACTATAGTTTACTATACAACTTACTATATAGCTATCCCTTTTCCGCTCATTCGTCATCGACATTTTTCCGCTCAACTTTTCTGTATTACATTTTCGCTCCAAACCATTCAATTGTAACATTGTCTCAAAATAAACCACTTTTCTATGAAAATACAAATAAGTCATTTATTCATGTCGGAAGATTTTTTCGTGTTCTTCTCGAATATGATATAAAAAATAACAGCTGCCCTTCAAAGTTTTGCAGAAAATTAGTATATTTGTTCAATTGTTATAATTTGGATGGTTTACGATATGTATCATTTCCAATAGCTCCAACCAATTCCGAGAACGGCACAAAAATATGTTAACATCAGGTATTTTTAACACCAGCACCGGTTTTTATACCAGCACCGACTTCGATGGGTGGGATAATTTCAACAACTCTATAGTTTTAAAACTGTAATAATCGAAAGATGATCACATTAGGAAAACAAAACGCCACAGATGAGGCAATTTGCATGGGGCAATACATTGAAATCGAAATGAAAAGAAAAAGCATGAAGAAGGTATGGATGGAACAATATTGGAAAAAAGCGGCCTTCCCAACGGTGTATAAACTATGCTGTTTCACATTCACATTCGGATGCAGTACAGCTGTTTGTGATTCAATCTTTTCCGCGCTATCGAGAGTTGATATCGTCGAACGTTCGCAGATGAATAGCAAACGTTTATTTGATCTTTCATTCTTGGCATATGAGAAAGGTGTACTGAACAATATGCGTGATGAAGAAATCATGCACAAATTCAATAAATCAAGTCGAAGCATATTGTTCCAACTCTCACCTAATC